AAAGAACTCTGAGCTGGAAGGTCAGGGCCAGGTTTGTTTGGGCAACAAAAGATTTTTGGCTTATTCAACAAATATTTATTGAGAGCCTATTCAGGACACATGTCCCTGCCCTTGTGGAACTCACGTTCTCATGGAGAGCACTCTCTCCACAAAACAACGAAGTGAAGTGTGAGCTGTTTTGCTGTGGGGCCTGTTGAGCTGGGAGGGGCCCTTGGTGCTCATAGCGGTGTGGGAGTGAGAGCCCAGGGCTCCTGGGATCAGCTGGCAGCTCTGGGCACAAAAAGTAGTTGGATAGAAGGCCTGGTGAGTGCCGTGTCCCGTCCCCCCCCACCCCCCATGTTGATGCTGGTGGTGGAGAGGGAGCTGGGGTCTTGGCAGAAGCACTCAGAGCCTGTGGTGAAGTAGAGGCTCTTGGGCTCCCTTTGGACTCCTTTCAGGCAGTAGTGAATTTATATTCCATGTTCATAGTTTCACACGTACTTTGGCACATTAATAGGGTTGAAAGGGTTAGAGATTTTCCTAGCAGGGTTATGTAATGAATAAACATCTCTCCTGTACGTCTAGACTCCTTGGGAGAACCGAGAAGACAGTAAGTCACTCAAAACATTTCGTGTTCTGTGGTTCAGATGAGGAACTTCACTAGAGAACCTGGTGACACACGTGTTTCTCAGCTGAGAACACACATCAGAGTCACCCAAGGAACTTGAAAACATAGGGGCAGGCTATAGTTCCAACCTACTTAATTAGAATATCTGATTGGGTTAGGGGCTATTAGATGAAAATATGTTTGAGGACTGCATTTAGTAAGCACCTCATGGGTGTTCACCTGGCCATGATGGTGAGCCAGTGAGACAGTCCCTGACCTTGGTGTGGTGGGCAACAGCCATGCCTCACTCTGTACGTGAGGGAAGGTGCTGTGCCAGTTCTCAAGCTCCTTTCTTTTGCAAGTTCTTTTAATTACTGTCAGAATTTGTTGACTCCTTCACCTAAGGGCTGGTAGTCTGTTTGGGCTGATTACTTGGTGAGGAAATTTTGGATACAGATGCGAAATCAGTTCACGTGGTACGATTCAGTAAAGATGAAAGCCTGGACGTATGCACTCCCTGGTCCCCCTTCCTGGTGAGCTGCAGGGAATATGAACAGATTGAACCAGCTGCTTATGGTAAAGAGGATGTGTCATTTCCATAGTCGTTAAGGGCTGGTGCTAGTTGTGCTACTCATGACTTTGGGGGCAAGTTACCTATCCTTTCTGGAACTCTGTTTCCTCTGTAAAATGGGGATAATAACAGTGGCCACCCCATGAAATTGTGATAACTAATTAAAATATTTATAAAGCTGTCAGTATCTGGCATGTAATTATCTCTCAGTAAGTGTGAGCTATTGCTATCTCTGCTTCTATGCTTCTGTTACTATTACTGAAACTACTACAACTGCTACTACATTATTACTGCTACTGCTGCTACTACTGCTTCTACTAGTACTCCGATGACCTTGACTTTTTGTTCAAGGTAGCATCACTGTTAGGTATGGAAAGCGATATATAGCCATTGTCATTTAATCCTCACGAATGCTCTGGGAAATAGGTATTTTTCTTGTCATTTTCCAAGTTGGGGATCTGAGGTTAAGATATTCGCCCTAGGCTGCAAAGGTAACTCAGTCTGTCTTATGCCAAAATCAGTGTTCTTTTCCCCTACAACATGCTAGCTTCTTATATCTGTAACTTATTAAGGGACTAATGAGATTAATTTAGCAGTGGCTGATTGAATCTTGTTTAGCTTGCTGTCAAGGGTTAATAAAATTTTTGGCCTTTATGGGATTCCATTCAACAAATTATACATGTAGAGTAGTTCAAATGTAAATTCAGAATTTGTTGAAAGTGTCGGTTAGTCCTTGAATTTGAATTATGTACATTATATTTCCAGTATTACAACATATTCTATTTCCTGCTCTAGAATGCTCATAAAAGTCACTCACTCTGTCCTCCTCTGCCCCTCACCCCCAATCCTCATAGAAAACAACCATTTCAGGATGGTACGAGTACAGTTCTTTTAAAACTGTAGTCTGCACCAAGTTAAGCATAACTTTAAAACGTAAATTTTTGCTATAGAATTTTCCCCTAAAATCCTTTAGTGCACATTGCTGTCTGTTTTTTTTTTTTTTTGTCTAACAGGAATCCTACTTTTGATGCACAGTATGTAACTGACCAGACATGCGGTGGACTTAGAATGCATGTGATGGAAGCTTGGCTCTGAATTGAGGCTGGGTCTGGTGAGCCTCGAGCAGCCCGAGTGATGGCCTCTCAGGTGCAGACGGTGACTCTCACACTGGTAGGCCATGGTTCTGGGCAGCTGCTCTCACCCCTCAGCTGGATCTTTCCTGTTTTTGCCTCCTTCACACCTGAGCGAGTAAATCAGTGAGCAAATAGCACGTGCTGGACCACTTGTATTTTGTTATGTTTTTTTTTTTTAAAATTATTTTGTCAGTAATATTTTGTTATGTTTGAAAGGGAGTCTGTAGTGTTGCCTCCCCCTGGAAGAATCCAGGCTTTCCACATTCTGCCCCATTTTTCTTTTTTTTTTTTTTTCCCTTTTTGTCTTTTTTCGTGTCCGGCAACAGATCGCAACCCTCAGTGTCGCGCCCGTACCGGACCGGGACCAGCAACGGGATTGCAACCCTCGGCACTGCGCCCGCACCTTGCTCAGCCAGTGAGCGGGAACCGGTCTGTATGTGGGATCCGAACCCTCGGCGGGAGCGCCGCCGCGCTCCCAAGCGGCGCACTGTAGCAGTGCGCCACCGGGCCGGCCCATCTGCCCCATTTTTCTGACTGCAGCACTTTCCAGTACACGTTTCCTGGCGTAGAAGTGGGGATGGCATTTGGAATGCACGATTAAAATAAATGACTTTGAAACTAACTTTCCTACCCTTGAATTATGACTAGATAGATTGTCCTGTGTGTGATTCCTTTGTTTCAAGGGAGGGGTGGGTTTGGATGGTGGCTATAGGTAGAGGGAGTTTGAGAGTTAGGTGGAGACTGGTGGGTAGGGCCTCATAAGACTGTAGAGTTTTTAGTCCCACTCCTTAACAGTGGAGCCATTAAGAGTTTTTATTGGCAGATGAATTAATGTAAGTAATATCATTTAATGAAGCATAGTCTCTTCTCAGGTGATGTTCAAACTTAGCTTTCATTTTTTTGTTTTAAAGATCCATTTCTGACCCCCCCCTTTTTTCCTTAAAAATCCCTCACTGTCCATCTCCTTAGATCTTTCATCTTATAATCATGTAATAAAGCATATAGGGGTGCATCTGTGAGCCATGGAGGAGCCCAAGGGAAGGGGGGGTCATCTCTGTGTCAGTTTGTAAAGAAGGCAGGATCTACTTTTTATCTTTTCTTTTAGCTCTTGCACATCCTTCTTCATTTCATCCACTTGGACCCCCAGGGGTCTTCCTGCTGCTGCCAAACAGCTTTGATCACCACCACCTGGTGGCCTACCCTTCCTGTCCTAACCCCACAGGACGGCTCCTTCAGGATCTGCCCCTGTTTGGTTGGTCTTTTTCTCCAGTTATGGCCCGTCTGTTTTCTTATTTCTCTACCCTCTCTCTGCAGATACCTGTGATTTAATCTGATAAAATTACTTTCTTTTATTGCCTATTTGACTAATAGCCAACTAGGTGCTATAATCTCTGAAGCCAGGGATCATGACTTCTTACACCTAGCAATAAGTGCCACAGTATCTAATCCAACTTAATCCTAGCATCCTTGGAAAGTCATCTGGCTCGGGAAAAGTGGAGAGCCTGGCTTGAGGACCTTTTAGTACCCCACTCATTCTTAAAGATTATATATAAATAAGAGAAAACAGAAAATGTCCTAAAACTGTGCTCACCTGAGGAGGTTATTTGTTTGTTTGCTTTATTTTGAGTTAATAATTGCTATAAGAAATCTGAGGTTTTAGGAGTTTTGAAAATCGCTAAGGTCTGCAGGTGATTTTTCCAGACTGATGATCTTTCCCATCATTTGGCCACTATACAGGAAGCATTTGGTGTAGTTTTATTGCTTATTTGAAGTAGTAAACAATTAAAATTTTTCTTTTGGTAAGAAATGCTCCATGCCCAATTTAAGTTTATTTTTCCGCATTCACTAGGCATTTTAGATGTTTATACCCTTTCTGGTATAGAAATAAATGAAAGTTATTCATATAATCCCAAATCAAAATGTGATTTTGAGCAAATGTACCACTCGATTTATGCTTATTAGATTGCCCTGTGTGAGATTTCATTTTTTTCAGGAGAAGGAAAGAGATTGTTGAATATAAGTATTTACTTGATAATTTAAACATCGATAAAAAATGGCATAGGTTTGGTTTTCAGGTTTGTATTTTTGTAAGCTAAAATGATTAAAGAATAAAGCTGAGCTTCACAAGAAAGCCGGTAAAGTGAACGGTTTTAAAGCATCTGGCCCAGCAGCAGAGATGGAGTCCTGGCACAGACTCTCAGTGGTCGTGTGTCATTGCGCAAGTTAATAACCTCACTAAACCTTATTTACCCATATTTAATGTGAGGCTAATGACAGTACCTGCCTCATGGAGTTTTTCTGAGGATTGAATGAGATACTGTATATAAAATACTTAGCTCAATAGTGAGTGGTGTGTAAATGTTGGCAGTCTCACTTTGCTGTTATTACTATAGATGTATTCATAAAACTACTCTGACAGCGTTTCTGAAATGTCGAATTATTGTAGTACTGGAAGTAATGGATATAAAAGCTGCATCAGACAATTCTTGTTTCTGTAGCCAAGTCACATTTAAAAAATCAAAATTGAAAAAAAAAATAGTTCATTGAGATTAACTTTATTCATAAAATGTTTTTCCTACCTAGACATAAACAAAGTACGTAATTTAAAATAAAAATAATCCTTGAAAACTGTCTCTATAAGTATTTTTAGAATTGTACAATTTAAGCATTCTTCATTCATATTCATGTAAAAATCTTTAATGTCTTACAGGGTTACATTGTTAGATCTTATGATAGCCAAGATAGTGGGTGATGAACCCCTGACCAAGGATGACATTCCTGTGTTTTTGCGCCATGCTGAGTTGATTGCAAGTGCCTTTGTGGATCAGTGCAAGATTGTGCTCAAGTTGACCTCTGAGCAGCATACTGATGATGAGGTAAGGAGACAGATTTTGTAATCTCAGCAATGTCCTCTATGAAAATTCTTTCTGAAGAGCTTTAAAAAATATTACGTAAGTAATGTATCCTTATATTAAAATAGTTAGAAAATTCAGATAGGGGGGAAAATGCCTTTATTCCTACCATCCACAGGTAATTCCTTTTAAAAAAAAAATTCTGGTTAGTATTTTTCTCCGGGCAGATACCATCAAATATATGCATGCATGCATAGACACTTGCACATGCATCTATTAAAGGTGGAGTCACTCTATGCCATCTATTCGTAAGTTCCCATTTTTTCTTCTGAATGTAATCATTATGAGGGCAGAAATTTTAACTTACGTTTGTAGTATGTACATAGTAGGCATTTAGCAAATATTTGCTGAATGAATAAATACATTGTGAATGTCTTTACAAAATACCAGTATAACATTCCAAGTAAGGAATTTACCATAATTTATTTATTTATTTATAACACACATTTGATTAAAGTTCTTTCCACATTCGCTACATTTGTCTGGATTCTCTCCAATATAAATCCTCTTATGACTCCAGAATCATGAATGGTTGATAAAAAGCCTTACTGCATTCATTGGAATTGTGAGGTTCTAGTCCAGTATAAATTTTCTGTTATTCAAGTTTCAATCCTTGTGTAAAAGTCATAGCATGCATACAAGGTTTGTGTGGGTGAATCAAAGATGTATATATATATATATATATTTTTTTTTTCCCCCTTTTTTGTCTTTTTTCGTGACCGGCAACGGATCGCAACCCTCAGTGTCGCGCCCGTACCGGACCGGGACCAGCAACAGGATCGCAACCCTCGGCGTTGCATCCGCATCTCGCTCAGCCAGTGAGCGGGAACCGGTCTGTATGTGGGATCCGAACCCTCGGCGGGAGCGCCACCACGCTCCCAAGCGGCGCACTGTAGCAGTGCGCCACTGGGCTGGCCCAGAATTTACCATAATTTATTTGTCCAACTTCCTGTAGTTGGACATTTAGTCTTCTTACAGTATATGTCTTTATAGTTACATCTTTGCACATTTCCATAGTTATTAACCTAGGACATAATCTTAGAAGTGGAATTGTTGGGTATAAGGGTGTACAGATTTTTAAAGCCTTTGATGTACTTTTCAAATTGCCTTCTAGAAAGTTTGTTTCTTCTATCCCCTATGGGAGATTCATAATCACACACCATCCTGGTTAACTACTTCCAAGTATTTTTAAAAAAATTTTCCTCAAGGCTACTCTATATCATTCAGGTCTTGTCATCACTAAGGGCATGGAAGCTAGCTTAGAGTAGTTCTGTTTCCCTCTTCCTCACTTCAGAATTTCTCTTTGTTTTTTATGTTCTTCCTCCTTTCCCTTTTGTCTCAAAGTTAGAATTGTTCTTTCTCTGGAATACTACTTAGCAGTAAAAAGGAATGCACTTCTGATACAGTAGCAGGGATGAATCTCAAAAGTACTGAGTGAGAGAAGCCAGACAGACTAGAGAACACTCTGATTCCATTTCTGGGAGAGTCTGTAGCAGGCCAAACTTACCGATAATGACAGAAAACAGATCACGTGTCACCTGGGGCTGGAAGTAAAGGGGTGACAGTGATTGTGAGGGTCATGAGGGAACTTTCTGGGTAGTAGAAATGTTATACATAGCTGTATACCTTGACACAACTCTGTAATGTACAGTTACGGTGGATCTACAGTATTTTATTGCATGTAAATTACAACTCTAAAAGGTTGATTTAAACATCTTTTAAAAAAAATAGGTCATTTGAGAGGGAGTAGTTGATGCTGGGACCACTGTTAGCAGACAGGTGAGACCAGGTGGGAGGGGTTGGAGTCCAGAGTGGACCCTGCAGACGGGAAGGCAGAGAGTATGGTACCTAGCCCGAGCATTGCCTGGAGGGTGATGTGTGATAATGTGAAATGTAAATGTGCGTCATGCTTGTGGCTGTTGTGTCATGAGCGTGTACTTTCTTCTTTGTGAGTACACTTTTGTTCAAGGCTGCTGTGCTGTCGATTTCTGTGCCATGTCACACAGACCGTGTTAGGTTTCATTGATCATGCCAATAATTCAGCACTATTTTCTCTGATAGGAAAGAGGAAGGCCTCTGCTCCACTGTCTTGCTTTTTCTTTCTGGAGATATATTTGCCTTTGTTTCCAGCAGGAGGAGCAGCGAGCTGTGCTTAAACAAAGTTTTTAAAATGAGTTCTCTAGGACTCAGAGAAGAGGCAGTATAACTTAGTACTTGTTAAACCACAGCTTTACACTTTTTATGGCACTTATGTTTAAAGCGTAAGTGATTTTAATATTGTAATAAGAAGTTACCTGGTGTAACTTCTTGTGGTTAAGAAAACTTTTTTCCTTCAGTTTTTTCCTGAGGGCAGGGGAGGAATTATTATATATTAATGAAATAGAAAACTATACGCAGTTTTCTTATGAAAAGCCAAAATAGTTCACTTTTGGAAATTTATTGATCCATATACTAATAACTTGGGCATATTAATTTATACATGTTATATTTTAAGTTAGAAGTTAAAAAAGCCACAGTAGTTTTTTAAGAAGTCTCCTTACATCAATATTTAAATCTACCATATACCCAGTGGTGTACTGGAGCTGGCCTGTACTGACTTCTGAGAGTCGATTATTAAATATTTAGAAATTTGTGAGCTGGTTGTAAAACTATTGGTAGTTCGAAATCATCCATAGCGGATATCGTTAGACCATGAAAATCAGCAAATGCTACAAATCAGGGCTTTCCGCCTGCCTCCTCCTGCCCTCTTCTCCCCAGCCAGTTTACCAGCATACCACTGCATTTACCCATTTGTTTTTAGGACAAGATATTCAGTAAAGTTCTCATAATGCTATGACTGAAAAATGAGAATGAAAATAATTGTATTTATAGCATTTATTTTTAATTTTATGTAATTGTTTGGCTTTAAAATCCTGAGGTCTTATTCATGTGTTCCTTTATAAAAATAATCTTGGGTTCTCATATTAATGTATTTATTCCAGTCTTTTGATATATTTTGTGTACTTTTTGCACTTTTTGGTGTATATTTGTTAGTTCTGGCAAGTTTAATTGTTAAGATCTGAGACTCAGTTTACTGAATCTTGCTCACCTGTAGTGAGCATTGCCTTTCCTCTGAAAGCTTAAAAAACATTTTTTTTAGCTTTATATTTTCTGATACCTGTATATTGTGAGAATTGTCGTAAGGTTGTGGGTTTTTCATTCTGTTTTATTCCTTGCAACCCCAGCTTAAATCATAGTATCTGTTATGCAGTGGGTATTTAATACGTATTTGTGGAATAAGTAAAGAAAGTGTTTTTTCATTCCACATACTGATAAGGGCTTAAATTTTTGTATTATGCAAATAATATTTGCTTTGTTATAAAAATATTATTTAAACTGAAGTCAATGAAACATAAAGTTAAGAAGTTTCACTTTTTTTGCCCAGTGCCCATCTATTTTCTACAGATCTGTCTGCATGTACTTTTTTGGTTTTCCTTCCAGTGTTTTTTGTTTGTTTGTTCATGTATACCTATACGTTTTTGTTTCCTTTTTTCACAATATAAACATATACTATTCTTCAACTTGCTTTTTTCACTTACTTATAATACAACTTGTACATCTTTTCACTTTAACACATGTATATTCATTGTACGCTTTTTTTTTTTTCCTTTTTGTCTTTTTTCGTGACCGGCAACGGATAGCAACCCTCAGTGTCGTGCCCGTACCGGACTGGGACCGGCAACGGGATCGCAACCCTCGGTGTCGCACCCGCACCTCGCTCAGCCAGTGAGTGGCCGGTCTGTATGTGGGATCCGAACCCTCGGCGGGAGTGCCGCCGCGCTCCCAAGCGGCGCACTGTAGCAGTGCGCCACCGGGCCGGCCCCATTGTACACTTTTTAATAGCTGAAGAGTATTTCACTATATAGATGCATCATAATTATTTCATTTGTTCCTTATAGACATTTCAATTGCTTCTAGGTTTGCTTTTTTAAAAACCTTTAAAAAAATGCTATAGTGAACATCCTTTTGGACAAGTAAACCTGGGATTATAAATTCCTGGAAGTTGAATTGCTGAGTTAGAAAGTATGTATATTTAAAATTTATAGAAATATTTCTAAATGGTACGCCAGTATAGCACAAGACTTGTGTGTTGTAACCCTTTGCAAATCTGATTTCGTTACCATTTCTTTTTAATGTTCTTAAGTGACCAGTATGTTCATTTGTTTCCCATATTAGATTACCTTTTAGCGCCACCGCGCTCCCAAGCGGCGCACTGTAGCAGTGTGCCACCGGGCCGGCCCTCTCTTTGTTCATTTTTAATCTAATTAGCCTTATTGTTTTTATCCTTATGGCCTCTGGATTTTTTTTAATACATATTTAATAAACTTTTTCACTTAGATTGTGGGAATATGCACCTATACTTGTATATTCTAGTTCTTTAAGTACTTACTCCGCATTTTTGTTTAATCTACAATTTATTTTTGAGTAAGGGGTGAGATATGGATCCGCATGAATTATTTATGTCTTTTTTTTTTTAAAAGATGACCGGTAAGGGGATCTCAACCCTTGGCTTGGTGTTGTCAGCACCACGCTCAGCTAGTGAGCAAACTGGCCATCCCTATATAGGATCCGAACCCGTGTGGTTGGTGTTATCAGCACCGCACTCTACCGAGTGAGCCACGGGCCGGCCTTATTTATGTCTTTTGATTGTCCAAGATTATAAAATTTTTGGTATAAGACTGACTGGGTTTGAATCTTGATTTCTTCTGTTATTAGTGTGTGATCTTGGAGAAGTTATTTATTCTCACTGCCTGTGTTCTTTATCTGTAAAATGGGTTTTATTTTAATATAAGCATTTAGTGTACTGACTGGTACATAGCTAGTTAGGAGCTGAATTCCAACCCCTACTTTTATTTCTTTTTATCGTGGAAAATTACAAAGATATTCTGAGAAAAAAGTGCACAGCAACTCCTGTGCCATCACCCAGCTTCAGCAGTTACCAGTGCATTGCCACTCTTGTGTCAGCCATGGTCCACCCATCCTTATGCCAATTGCCCTGGATTGAAACAAAGCTCCAGCATATTTCATTATTTCCACTAAAGGATAAGGAGTCTTCAGACACAAATAAAATGTAATTAGCACATCTAAAACAGTTAACAATTAAATTTTAATATCAAATAAACAGTATTTAGATTTCCCCATTGTCTAGTAAGTTTTTTCAAGTTTATTTTGTAGAATCAGTATACAAATAAGAGCCATACATTGCACTTGATTGATAGGACTCCGTTCTTTTAATGTATGGATTCCCCTTTCCTCCTTCTCCTCCTCTTTTTTTTCCTTTGCTAGTTATTTGCTGAAGAAACTGGGTTGTTTTTCCTGGAGGAATTTTCTGTAGTTTGGATTTTGATGAGTATGTCTCCATGGTGGCATTTAACACGCTCTTCTTTTGCTTGCATTTCCTGTGAATGGTAATTAGGTCCAAAGGTATATTCAGATTTGGGATAGTGTTTGTTTGTTTTGTAGTAATGTTTCATTGTTGGAGATAATGTACTTTAATCAAGAGGCATATAGTGCTTGTTTGTCTCTCTGTGATGTTGGCAGTTGTTAATGATTACCTAGATCCATTAATTCTTTTGGGGTTACAAAATAGTGGTATTTTGACTCTATCATTTGTTCTTCATTTATTAGCAGGAATATTTTGTAAACCTCTCCTAACCCACTATTAGGTTATACAGGTACACTTTGATTTAGAAAGGCAGGATAGGATCCCCATACCAGCCAAGGATAAATGCTTGATATTTCCCCCCAAAGATGACCAGTGAGTTGTTTTGTTTTGTTTAATTATCATTATGAAATCATAGCTTTAAAACCACTTGATTTGTTTTCCATCGTTGCAGTTGTAATTCTGCTTAATGTTGTAATGTGCCATCGCTGGCCAGTGGAAGCCTCTTCAGGTTGTTTTAGATTCCTTTTGACATGACCTAGTAGTTTTTAGTAGCTTCCTTGCTGTGTGGTATGACAAGAGGTTCAGGGTCATCTTGCACACGCTCTGCCCCAGACCTAGAGTTAGGCATCTAGGTGACAATTCAGGCAACTATCCATTTAACAAAAGAGGTTGCTGAAACCCCTTAGATTAGTGGATTTGCTGAAGACTCTTTTTTAGTATGGTAATAATTTCAGACTTCTAATGTAGATTTTCCCCCTAACTCTTTAGCAAGTGAAAACTATGAAATAAAATTAAAGATCCAAGGCATTAAAATATGTGTTGTTTCTTGCTATTTATTTTGAGATTTCAGAATGCTATATTAAAAGATTACCCTTAAATCTCCTAATTAGGGAATAGTAAATACACATTTAGAATTCACAAAAGGAAGCAATTTATCTTTCTTTTGAAGAATGTTCTTTATAACCTAAATTTATAGTCTCTACCACATTTTGTCAAATAATTTATATTTTAAAAATGGGGTTCAAAATCTGTACAAAAATTATGTTTTTAAATTTTATATGGACTACCTAATGCCATGCAATTGGTGTTTGGTAATTCTTGGTTATGCAGTCTATTTGATAATAAATTATTTAGTAGCTATGTGAACATTTTCAAATAATATTATCTTTTCCAGTCCACCAAATATTGCATATAGGTTTATTTTTACCCAGAAATAATGCAAATTCTTGAAGCCAGAGTTTCTTCAACCACAGCATTTTGCAGGATTCCTGTGGACAAGAAATTAATGTATTTCGTTGGATATTTGCATCTTTAAAGTAGAACTTGCATGCTGGGAACACTTTAAAAAGAAAGTATTTGCATAAATGTTATGTATGTAGCTAGTAATTTTTTTTTTGTTTTTTTGTGACCGGTAAGGGGATCATAACCCTTGGCTTGGTGTCGCCCGCACTATGCTCAGCCAGTGAGCGCACCAGCCATCCCTATATAGGATCCAAACCTGCGGCCTTGATGCTCCCAGCTCCGCTGCGCTCCCCAGCGCCGCACCCTCCCGAGTGAGCCATGGGTTCAGCGCACCAGCCATCCCTATATAGGATCCAAACCTGCGGCCTTGATGCTCCCAGCTCCGCTGTGCTCCCCAGTGCCGCACCCTCCCGAGTGAGCCATGGGTTTGGCCCTGTAGCTAGTAATTTTGAACATTTATTCTACTTTTGGAAGGTATTTTTGCTTGAATAAGAATTTTTCTGACTCTTTTCTCCAGGAAGACACGTGTCTGCTGCTACTGAGAATGATTATTTATGTACATATCTAACATTGCTGTTTGGTTCTTCATGGTTTTGTTTCTCTCTTTAGATGTGTTACGAGCACTGAGTCTTTATATTTATTGTAATATTTTATTCTCTTATAGTTACTTATTCAAGTTAAATCATTTAACTTCAAATATACTTAAAGTTATGTTTCCTTTTCTTTTTAGGAGGCGCTGGCTGCAATTAGGCTTCTTGATGTCCTGTGTGAAATGACTGCTCATACTGAACTGCTTGGCTATCTACAGGTTTTTCCTGGCTTGTTGGAAAGAGTGATTGGTGAGTGAAATACCACACGTAGTATTTTTAGCTAAGAAATCTTTGACTTATTATACTGTAATATAAATCCTTCATTTTCATCATATGGGGGTATGTCAGAAAGTTAATGGAAAAATAGAATTGAAAGATAATACGAATTTTTCCATGATCTTTTTGAAGTACCTGCGTATTGATGTATTTTTGAGATTTTTTGAATATTTCTTCTTGAGAGGAAGCATAGTGTCATGGTGACAGTTCAGGCATAGGATCTGTATAGACCTGAGTCCATATCACAGTTTTGCCACCTCCCTTCTGTGTGATTCAGGTACCTTATCAGTAAGATGAGGGTAATAGTGCCTAGTACGTGGGGTGCACAGGGGAGTTGCTTCATCAGTAGTGGTTGTGATGATGATGGGGGGGAGCATTTGCGATGACAGTGGTGATTTTTATATTACTATGGCTTTACAAAATTTGTCAGTAAATTTTTCCCATTTATATATATTGAGCACATAGGATAGTGCTTTACACATATTAGGTATTCACTTAAATCTGTTTTGAAAAAGTAGCCATTGTTTGCAGTATTGCCATCCTTGCTAAAAAGCTATTTGTAGAATAATTTAAGTAGAGCCTGTTCTGTGTGGTTAGCCATACATTGCTATTCACTATTCACTATTTTTTCCTTTAAGAAAATTATACTTACTCTGGGGACCAATATATTGAGATGACTTTATATCTAGAAGTATATATGGCCTAGCAGTGAGTTGTAGAAGATGATACTTCGAATTCCTTATCAGTATTTTATTTTGAATGCATTGCTTTTAGTTGTATTTGAGATAAAACACCACTAACCTGGGGCACTGTGAATCACTGTAGAAGGAGCATGAGTTTGGAGCCAGGCAGACGTGGGTTGTCATCCCAACTCAGCAAGTTACTAACTTCTCTAGGCCTGATTTCTTCATTATAAAGTTGAGAAAGTGATATCTTCCCGTCAAGAGGGTTAAATGAGAGAATGTGGAAGCACTAAAATACAGTTGCTGGGAAATTGTCTGTAGGCTGCCTTGAGGTATTCATAGGGTATAACAACGTTATTTCTTTTGAATGTAACTAAAATAGATCTGTGGTGCACACACGCTGCCTTCTGATTATCTGGCCAATGAGAAGAAAATTGGTATCTTCTTGGTTCTGCCATATAGGTTATTGTAGATAACGTATTGTATTTTAGACTTAGCTGGCTGCAGTTATCAGATGAGTATTTTCATAAAAAAGTTGGGATTGGAAACTGTGTTAGTCCATTTTTGTTGCTTATAACAAAATATATTGAACTGGGTGATTTATAAAGAAAAACAAAATTTATTGCTTACAGTTTCTGAGGCTAGGAAGTCCAAAGTCCATCTGGTGGTGGCAACAGTGACCCAGGAGTCTCACATTGCAAGATGGTGGAAGCAGAGAGAGAGAGAGAGAGAGAGAGAGAGAGAGAAAGAAAGACAGATTTTCCTCTTCTCTTAAAACCCTCAGAACCATGCCCCTGACCAGCATTTTTAATCCATTCACTGCGGCATGGTCCTACAGTCTAATCACCTCTTCAAGACTTCACCTTTCAGTTATCATAATAGAATTTCTCACCCTCTTAACAGTCACAGTGGGGTCTAAGTTTCTAATACATAAAACTTGGGGGACAAAATTCAAGCTTCAATGAGTTCTGGGGGGACATAATTCAATCCAATACAGAAACCTTTCTGTAAGAAGGATGCTAGAAAATTTTTAGCTAACTTGTCTTTGTGAGTAAGCAGAACATGCAGGTTGGGGTGATCATTATGGCTTATCTCCCCAAAACTAGAGTGAAAAGATTTAAAGCAAAGGCAGAATAGTCTTCTAATTGTTAAAGAGATCTTTCAGGACTCTACCTTCATTCTATATTAATTCATTAAAATAAATTAGATTTGTTTATGGAAAACTAATACAGAGTACTAAAGATTATTATTCTATGGAAAATGAAGTTTATGGTTTTTATTATAGATCTCTTACGACTGATTCATGTAGCTGGAAAAGACACTACAAACATCTTCAGTACCTCTGGTGGCATAAGAGCAGAAGGTAACATTTCAAATATGGTTGAGGGATTTAAGTCTCATCTCATTCGTCTGATTGGAAATCTTTGTTACAAGAATAAAGATAACCAAGACAAGGTAAGATTATTTCTTAGTATGTATCATACATATATGGCTTCATTTAGAATTTACTATTTAGAATTTAGTATATATCACTTTTTTTGGTAAAAGATTGAGGTGCTTAGAAAGTAGCTTGAAAGAGGATATATATGTATTATATATGATATATGATAATATCTATATTTCTCCCCCAAAACATTGTATATCATATTTGTTTGTATTAGGGTTTATATTTTTGTAATTTTGCCTTGTCTTTGTCCTTAGTATATTTGAGCCAGTCCCCCTTCTTGTAAGTTGTCAATGTTTGTCCTATGCCTGTGCATTTAAATACACTCTTACATCATATAGGGAGCAGTCAATGAAAACAGGTAAAGAGCCTAGAAAATTTTCTAGCACATAGTAGACATTTAATAAACACTAGTTATTATTGACCATTACCTTAAGAAAGAAAGAAACAAAAAAAACCTTAACTTACATTTATATTGTACATTTATGGATGATAGCATCATAAGCTTTTTCTTTTTGGTGTTTTGAAATGGACATAGTATTTGAGTATTAAGTCTTTGGAGACCCAATAGGCTGCTTTTAGAAACCTCAGTTGTGCTGAACAGCTTAGAGGTAATTATATTGGTAAAGTGAGAGAGTGGTAAAAAAGATGGCAAGAAAATCAGACCACATGCTTCACATTGAACTAGCCTTCCTGTATCTTCCTGGAGTTTTACTTTGGGTGGCATTTGTTTTACTTCGTTAAATATTAAATATATCTGTGGCAGATTATATTTTCCCAAGATGACTGCAAAAACTTCCGTTATTTTACATGTATTTCTGCAGCATGACTTTGCCACAGTTCCATCAATGGTTGGCCTCTGTTTCTCCATCCCCTTGAATCCAGGCAGGCTCTTGACTGCTTTGAACAATAAAATACGGCCGTAGTGATCCTGTACCATTTCTGTCAAAGCTCTTTACTGGTCTGGAAGGTTCTATTTCTGCCTTACTAGCAGCCAGACAGCAAGTAAGAAGTGCAGATTCTTTGAGGTCACCTTGCTGTTAGTTGCTGAGTCCACATGGAGAAGCCCTGAAAGGGGAGATACAGTGAGGAGAAAGGAAGACACTAGTCAAGAAACACCCAGGCACTAGTGTGTGAGAGAAACCAAACTGGAACTGGACCCATCCTCGGTTTCTTGCTTGCCCATCTGATGCCAGAGAGATCTGGGACATCCTGCCTGGCAAGGTCCTTTCTGAATTCGTGACCCACAGCATTGGGAGAAAAAGTGAAAAATTGGAGAAAAAAAAAAGTGTGTAAGTTCAGCTTCTGTCAGTAGTCCAGTAAGCTGCTATTAGACTGATTCTCCTGTAAATAACAATAATAAACTCTGGTGAAAAGACAGCTATGTGAAGGCACTTAAATTTGACACATACAGATTCTGGGGTCACATTGACACTTGGAAAAAGGGATTGGCAATGTGTATGACATGCAGGGCAGTTGGAACTCTGATAGAAAATCTGTAGTCTTCCTAAATTGAAGAATCAAAAACAGTTTGGGGGCAACCACAGCCATTGGAAAGTGAGGGGGGAATTCCAGAAAGGAGAAAACAATCCCAAAATTCTATGTATCAGCTATCTAAATCCCTGCTAATGTCTGAGTCACATGTGTGGGGCAGGCTCCAAGCAGCTAAGCTAAGGATAAAATAATTTTACTGGGATTTGAGCTGCCAACCTAGAGCTTACAGTTGAAGATAATTGCCCACTGAAACAAAAATATCAACACTCTTTAGAGGAATATAATAGAATCCAGAGTTTACATAGCATGGCATTCACAGTGTCTGGGGTACAATCCCAAATTACTTGACATATTAGAAGGAGTGAGAAAAGACAGTCATTGGAGACTGTGCGATGACACAGGTGTGTATAACTGTGCTCAAGGCTATAAAAGAAAATATGCTGCTTATGAGACATGGCATGAACCAAATGCCACATAACTTGTTCTTTTTTTGTACATGTGCACCATTTTGGTCCTCCTCTTCATTTTCAAGGTGGTATGATTGTAAGACTATTAATCCCTCCTTGGACAATTACTGGACTTATTTTTGTAAAAGAAAGTTGATACAGAATAAAACACTTTTTACCTTTTTACTGACCAAGACTGCCTTTCATGAGCACAAAAGAGGTGGTTTTTCTTGTGTTTAACTATTCTTTTGTTGCTAACTTGGATTGGCTCTTGTAGGAAGAAAATGTAGTAACCCTTTAAAGGCTTATGAAATAACTCACTGAAGTCAGGATCAGATTGCACCATAAGTAAATATGGAGTGTGCCCTAGTGTTGCTGTGTAGGGTCACTGGGTCTCACAGGAAGTCGATGTTTTGTTCTGTCACATGTGCAATTGCTAACAGCACTGCTGATTTCTGAACAAACACTCTCGAGGGTAGGGACGAGTTCATTCTTTGAGTATGGGAATGCCTCTGTTTCTCTCCATTTCTTACCTGGGCAAACAAAATGCCTGAACCTGAAAGCATTACTTCTGGGATTTTTTTTCTTCTTCCAGAGGCTCTGACACAACACCAAAGTCTTATTCCGGTTTTGCTGGAAGCTTCTTTGTTCTTGTAGCCACACCCTTTTCCAGCTGGGTGTTACATATATTTGCCTTGTTCATTGTTGCCTCAAGGAATGGAATTCACTAACCCTCAGCTTTTAGTTATAGTTTTGGGGAAATATATGATAATGTAGCAGGTCTTTATTATTGGGCCTTTAATTCTCATTGTCTTATCTAGACAGGTTGCCCCACTTCTACCCAAATTGGTGCCCAAAACTAAAGATCTGAGTTGGGGGTTGGATTTTGAATCAGTTAGCCTAATTTGGGTTCATCCTTCACCCAGAAGAAAAAAGGGACTGATGATTTATTTAGTGTCTGTTGCGTTCCAGCATTGTGCTTAGTGAATTATATGCGTTATCAACTTTAATCTTTGCACCAGCCTTGCAAAGCAGGTTCTACTAACCATGTTTTAAGGAGAGGCCATCCAGTTAGTGAGTTGCAGTGCCCAGAGTAGAATTTGGATTTGTAGGCCTGTCAGTTCCCAGGCCTGTGCTTGCTCACCTGTACCATGGTGCCTCATTTGAGAGCATTCCAAGACTTTGGAGGAAAAGGTTTAAAATATACTTCTTGAAGGACTTCAGACTATAGATGCTGGAGTCTTCTGGTGACACTAGGTCTCCTGGGCTAGCCAGTCCTCTCTGGCTCCCTCTTGGTTTAAGTCTGGAGCTCTGGTGGTCCTCTCATCTCTATCTCTGATTCATTCACTCATGAAATGTGAATATTTTCACTCTTTGATGGATAAGACAGGTGAGGTATCTCCTCCTGTGAAGGTCCCGTTCTAGGAGCATCTGGGGGCCATACTTGCATTGTATTTGTGCATCATTTTGGTCCTCCTCCTCATTTCCAAGCTGTTATGAGTATGACTACTAATCCCTGCCTTGGAAAATTATTGGAACAATTTTTGTAAAAGGAAGTTGATACAGAATAAAACACTTTACCTTTTAAATGATGAACACTGCCTTTCTTGAGCACAAAAGGTGGTTTTTCTTGTGTTTAACTGTTCTTTTGTTGCTAATTTGAATTGGCCTCTTGTAGGAACAAAATGTTGTAACCCTTAAAAGATGGCCTCTTTGAACCAGAACCCCAAAGCTGTTTATGACAAACTTCTGTAGAATCTTTATGCACCGCCTCATTCCTCTGGCTCGATCACAAGACCTTTAAGCTCAGCTGGTGTCTGCTTGTCTGTGTAACTTTACTCGTTGTAGTGAGTGTGGTGCCCACCTGCTGGATAGCACCCCTGAGATTTGTGTGGCCCTTTCCATTTTACTGAGTTATTTTCATCTGTATTAGTTCATTGGAGCCTTACGACAACTCTGTTAAAAAGGCTGAAAAGATATTATTGTCATCATTTTCTAAATGAAGAAACCAAGGCTCAGACCCAGCGTGATTGTATTCAGCTAGCAGTTATTGAATGAAAACTACTCCATGCTACATGCTCTGGAGAAGATGGTCCTTTACTTTGTAGGGGGGTAACACATGTGCACTACTAGCTGTAACAAAAGCCTGTGTGGTATGGCCTGTGGGAGAGGAGCAGATGGGTGATGTGATCCCTGGGCTGGGTGTGCCAGGAGCAGTCCTCTTGAAGTAAGGACAGAGCTAGACTGCCAGGAGCACAGAATTAATAGGAAGGGAGGGTGATAATCTTCCTTAAAGATTTGTATCTTTGGGCAAGATTTAAGAGAGTCAAGGTGCCTGGCCTCAAATTGGAAATCTGCTCAGAAATATATTTTACCCAGTCTTTCCATGAGTCTTGAACTCTTAGTCTGTATACATGGTGGATTGTAGTGTTGCCTGAATTGTGAAGGAATTGCTAGACTTCTCTTTACCAAGTCATGGCGGGGAGGTGTTCTTAAATCCTTATTGACTTCTGTTTTTTTGTGCTCAACTTGAATGGTACTTCCTTGTTACAGCTGTACTGATTAGTTTACTTTTAAACCTTTGTGGAGCTAAACGGAGATTCTGTTTTGGTTTCTGTTGTGAGAAGCACATGGATATTAGTGCTGTAAACATGGAGAAAGCATTCTTTGGCTGCTGCTTTGTTAGAATAAGGAATGTATGGTTTACTTTTTTTCTTCCCATTCTTTTCTTCACTATTGTCATAACTTTAAGTGAATACTTTATTAGAAGAAAAATCAAACAGGTTTTTTCATTTCATAAAGCTAAATGCATTTTTCAAAGTGGACAGGCAGATGATGTACTTTAACTACCTTCTTTTATTCCCAAAGAAAGTATATCAACTAAGGAGGGCCATACACCATTTTGGTCATCGAATCCATTCTGCTGCATGGTTTGTGGAAACGCTGTTCAGTTTCTTCTCTTCCTCCTCCTCCCTGATAAAAAAAAGAGTCCCAGCATTCACACATATGTTCAATGATCCCGTGTATTCAAATATATTTATACAAAAGCTTTCATTACAAGAATAACTTCATTTAAAAAGTAAGTAA